GTATAAGTGAGTTAGTTATTCCGTTAAGCATTTGGGAATCATGTTTTTTTCTGTGGATAAAAAAATAATTTTGGGAAACGGCATTAAAGAAACAAGGGATGGTGCTTTGGATTTCTTTAAAAAAAATAAATGGAGAGAAATTTACAAAAACAACCAGTTTTGGCGGCTTAGAGAGAGAATAAGAGAGATAGAAAGAGAAAGAAGAAAATGATGGTCGCGACAGAAAGGGAGTAAAAGAAAAACTTACACGTTTCAAGGCAAAACAGTGAAAAGGAGAATGATGCTCATGGGAGAGAGAAACATGAAACTGAAGATTATGACTGTCTGAAGAAAAATGGAGGAAGAATTCTGATAAGATTGTATAGGGAAATAAACAAACAAAAAGAAGAAGACGAAGAAGAAGAAAAAGAAGAAGAAGAAGAAGAAGAAGAAGAAGAAAAAAAAGGAGAAAGAGAAGAATAAGAAAGAGTAGAAGAAGAAGAAAGAGAAGAAGAAAAAGAAGACGAAGAAATGGGGGAAGAAAGAGTAGAAGAAGAAGAAAGAGAAGAAGAAAAAGAAGACGAAGAAATGGGGGAAGAAAGAGTAGAAGAAGAAAGAGAAGAAGAATAAGAAAGAAAAGAAGAAGAAAGTGGAGAAGAAGAAAGTGGAGAAGAAGAAAGAGAAGTGGAAGAGAAAAAGAAAAAGAAGAAGAAGAAGAAAGCGAAGAAAGAGAAGAAGAAGAAGAAGAAGAAGAATAAAGCGAAGAAGAAGAAGAAGAAGAAGAAGATAGAGCAGAAGAAGAAGACGTAACACATGATAGGAGGTCAGAAATGGGAGATATGTATGTCATCTTAGAAAATGTCAATCATCTCAATGATTATCAAAAAGTCTTCGAAAATGCGGCTTCTGAAAGAAGGCTATTGAGCCATTTAAGATATTTATTCGCTCATAACACGTTCTGAATAAACCAATGAAGCCAGAACCTATACGATCAATTGTTTTCTTATTGTAACCATCCCATCCGTAGATTTAATAGGAACACATATTTAGACAAACAGCTTCAAAAAAAAAAATTTTAACATACGTTTTTATTACTTTTACTTTACGGTACAAGGCTTATGGAAGAGAAACGTTTTGCTGTGCTATTCTTCTACAAGAAGAGTCTGGCTTCGTAGAAAATCATCCTTCAAAATCCTGTGTTTTTATCTAATCTGAAGCGTTGAAAATCGGAAATGTGTACCGTAATTTCCTACAGAAGAAATGCCCCGACATACATGATTCATTGTATTGTATATATATATATATATATATATATATATATATATATATATATATATATATATATATATATATATATATATATAAATTAACATATATATATATATAATAAATTAACTGCCTCATTTAAATCAGTTAATTTATATTATTTATAGTCTGTAAATTTACATTGAGCAGTGTTTTGTAAAAATAAAATAACAAGAACACAAGAACAAGAATATATATATATATATATATATATATATATATATATATATATATATATATATATATAATGTTGCAGTATGCCTACGGACGATAATGGGTTATGTCCTCAGTCACATAAATACAGTAGTAAATACTGTATGTTGATCTGCAGTAGGAGATTCGTCTCCAGCTGTGCTGGACAAACTCTCTACCTCCGAGCAGATACGATCCCCAGATGAGGCTATGTAGAAGAACAGAGTCTCGTCTCGGGAAACAGCTTCCCGACTCCATTTTATACGGGGTATACGGAAAATTTTCGCCGGAGCCTCCGATACCCCACATTAAATTCGGCCTTGTGCCACATCTGACCGCGTTGGGTAGTTGGTAGATATCCTGCA